ATTATGGTAGCTACAAGCAAACTAAGGCAGACATATTTCAATTATCACTAATAACAGGAAAAAATTCACATTAAGGATACATAAAACTAAGGAACACTTCAGTAGCCCAAGCAACATCAAAGTTAAATAACTGGAAACAAAAGGTTTATTTTTAACAGCAAGTTAAAAACACCAATGCAAATAGAGCATTTCACAACAACAAGCTTCTATCTGTATTGTTTCTCATAACCTCTGGCCTGGATTGCAGACAGTATTAGCTGTCATCAGGTTTCCACTTGCGTATTGCAACAGCAGTCAATGGAGTAACTTCGTTTCATTATACAAGTAATCAGCATAGTGTGATCACATTTTCTTCATCTCCCAGAAAATTGCAAAACAACCTTTTGCTTCAGAAAATGCACAACACATCTGACATAATCCAGAGATTTTAAAAAACATCTTAAGAACAGTCATTTTAATCTACATTTTCATCTAAAAGTACCCCTCGGGCTGATATGATGTAAATACTTGAAAGAGGTTCTATAAACGCAAGCATCTCCTGCTATTAAAACTTACCATCATTAACTCTGTAGCACAGATTGCATTTCCACCTCCTTTGATCAATGAAAGAAACAAAAGGGTTGATATACGTCCTGCAGGATCTGCATCTCACTATTGTGCTTGATGTTATTACTGGTAATTGCTAAAAAGAAGCAATGGAAAGCTGTAACAAAGGTACATACTACATTTTACGGAAAACATTACTGTGCAGTACAGTGTATAAAAGCTTCGTAAGACTAGCTATTCTATCATCTTTCCTTTTATCTTTTTAGCTCATTTTCACACAGAGTAATAGTGATGCCTATTAAAAATATCCTCCTCTTTAAAATCAGAAGACATAATATTTAATCGTCTTAATCCAATCTCACAAATCAAAGACGTAATAAGATTTCTAATGAAATTTCTTTAAATTACACAGTTACAATAACACAGCTACTATGGTAAGAAAAATTATGAAAGACAGGACAACTTTGGGCAACTAAACATGACAGACAGCAAATCTTACACAAAGAGCACACATTATATGAAAACAGTCATACCAGACAGTTATTGACTTTGTTACATAAATACAAATAAATTAGATGGAGAGGAGGTGCTTAACAGTTAGTAACACAGCTCCAATCTTACACTGTGCTTACCTTCTCTCGACAGCACTTATCATGCCAGTAACGCATTCAACACAAGCACCTCTTTTCAAGAGGGCACTGTAAACACCTTTTCAAGAGGTTATCTGACAGTTCTGAGCGCAACATACAGCGCAGTAGTTCAGAGCTTCAGAGAACAACAGGTAAGCAAAGACTTCCAACAATTAGGAAAAAAATCTTCAAGGACTTGTTCAAAGCTTTGCCCTTATGAACTTCAATGAAGTAGTAATTTCAAGGCTTTTTGCCCTTCCTCCTCTTTACGTCTCCAACAATTTTTTGCTACTTCTATTAAAATTAGGACTTACAGTTCATCATACTTTATTGTTTGAATGAAAATAGGACAAATGCTTATATTAAACATACACAGTAAAAAAAAAAAATTAAGCTGCTTTACCGTTAGGTCTCTGAAGGGGTGTAGCAACAAACCCAAAGGAAGCTTAGCTTTGTTTAACAAAGCTTGTGTCTGTGGAACATTTGTCAATGTACATCGAAATGAGCTGAAAGGAAATAAAAACATTATGTTGAAAATGAAAATTTTAAAATGTTAAAAACACTGTGTTAACGCCCAATTTTAAATAATTTTGAAATTGAAGAAATCTTATGTTTTACAAAGCTGATTTAATAAACAAAATTAACGCAGAGATTAAAAAAGCTTCCTAAAGAAACAAAATACTCCCCCGCTCCCCAATTTAGTAGTTCAGCAATGCAAATATACAAAACAAAACTTGCAGTAAAGAGATAAAACTGCTTTAAGCACAACGTTCACTGTAAAATGATGTATTTTTTTATTCATTATAAAGATCATTTGGGTGAAGGAACTACAGAAGGAATATAGTATTTACTAGTTCTCAGAAAGTAGTATTTGTATAAGAAAACATCAGAAAAGGATGTCAAATACTGAGTCAAAATCTTCTCTTTTGTGTATGTGGAGGATAGACTTCAAGCTAAATAAAGAGCGCCAAAAAAACCCAATTCACGGATAGTGCTGTCCAAATTCTTCCACACCTAAGAATGATTTCGAACCCTCCAGTTTTCTGATTTCTGTTTTCTAGAGGGACCATGCATTGTCACCAGGGCAGTAAGCTGAGTTAATTTGGGGCAACAAATAAAATTTGTTTCAGAATTAGAATTAAGATCTTTGGGGGAGAGCAATTTCCATGGTACCTAGATGCACCTGACTTGCGATAATAAATAATATTGAAGTTAATTAAAGGTGAAAGGATACATCATGATTGAAGGATTACCACAGTAAAATGTACTCACAGTTTATTCAGTGTATTTAGGCATGATCATCATAATTTTCTGGAAAAAATCCTATGCAATATTACAAAAATATTCTATGAAATGTACTGCATAACATTAAATTGTTTATTAACAGACTTTTTTTTTAAGATGGATAAAACAAGGCAAAGATTAAACAGGTTTCTTCACATTTTAGTAAGCAAGCTACACTCACACTGCATATAATGTATTCTGATAGGACAGTTTCAATATTTGTGTAAGGATGCAGACGATAAATTTCTTTTCAAGTGAAACGGGTTATATTGGCTCATCAAAAAGATTTAAAGTCAAAAGTCAGTTTAGCCATTTTTTGACACATTAATAATTAAGCCACCAAGAAATGTAAGATGCTGTTCTAGAAACAGTACACTTACTCTGGACTGCAGTTTAATTTCCTAAGATCAGAATTCAAGTTAGGCACAGGTGCTGGAACCGAAGATACAGGCAAAATATTTCTGTCTTGTGTAAGGTTTACTGGTCTCAAGCTTTCTGGCTGCTGAGAATGCTGTAGACTTAACCCTCCCAAGGAAGAGGACAACTGGTTCACCCCTGAATATTGCTGAAAAAATTAAGAGCATTGCAAATGGGTAAACACAGGATCATGTTTAAACAACAACCTTAAATCTTGTAATCCCTATTCTTCCAGACATGTATTAAAAAACAGATACAGCAGTAGTTAGTAACAAACCCAAACAAACAAGGAAAGAGCTGTACAGTAGAAATTTAAAAATGTTAAGACAAATGTGACATACCTTCCAAAAACGTATCATTGGACAAAATTCAAGTTCATGATACAAATCAACATTGCAAGTCACACACAATCCTTCAAGCTTTCCAGGCGTAAGAAAACAAGTTACCAGCAAGGCTGACAATTTTCTTCCCCTCTTTCAAAGATGTTACAATGTTACTTTTCAAAAAAAGTTCCAGAAACTGGTTTTTATGTATTTATTTTTAAATTAAAACAAAACAAAACACCATAGAAAAGGAGAAAAGGTTAGGTTGGAAGGCACCTCTGAGGTCTGGAAGCCCAACCCCCTGCTCAAGCAAAGCTAACTTCAGAGTCAGATCAGGTTGCTCATAGCCTTTTCCAGCTGAATTTTGAAAGTATCTAAGGATTGACGACGTCACAGCACAATCTGTACTACTGCTTCCCCACTCCCATTCTGAAGAATTTTCTCCTTATAGGTCCAACCAAAATTTCACTTGCTGCAACTTGTAATTGTTGCGTTTTGTCCTTTTACTGTGTACTCCTGAAAAGAGCCTAACTCCATCTTGCATTATAGTGAAGATGAAGCTAAGTTTTTCAACTTCAAAAAAAAAATTAAAAATTACACATTCCCTCCAGGTCACATTTTACATTACCTCTATAACAATAAAAGCACTCTTGGATATTATATGCTAACTTATGGTACTACAACAGCAGCTTTGATCCATTTGCCAGCTAGGACTTCTTTCAGAGAGTGGAATTTGTAGGTCAGTAGGTTTCATTTTCTACACCCCTTCACACATACACAAATGCCGAAGCAGTGCAGAGAAGTATTCTGCCTCAGTGTCTGTCTCTTCTTCAGATTTTGCTGCTACTGGTTACCCGCATGCAATGGGAGCCAGATGATTGTACACAACTTGAGTGTTTGGTGCTCTCTCTTCCAGGAAAATAGAGCAGATGCAGGCAGACTTCTCCATCACACACCCAGCACAGGTTCTACAGAACTCCTTCATCTGGACCCTATGCCATGCCTTGCTGGTAAGGTGATGTAATTCTTGAGACCATAGCTTATAAAAGTGCTCTGATCACATGTGTATTTACTGAAGTACTTCATTATGCTTCTTTATGGTTTCCTATCAAAAAGTACAGCTCTTTGAAATACCAAACCTTAAAACTGTGGATGATGCCATGCTCATGAGGTTCAGCAAGGCCAAGTGCAGGGTCCTGCACCTGGACTGGGGCCACCGCCACTATCAATACAGGCTGCGGGAGGGAGGGATTGAGAGCAGCTGTGCCGAGGAGGACTTGGGGTTACCGCTGGATGAAAAGCTGGACATGAGCCAACAATGCACGCTCGCTGACCAGAAGGCCAACCATATCCTGGACTGCATCAAAACGAGTGCGGCCAGCAGGTCGAGGGAGGTGATTCTGCCCCTCTCCTCCACTCAGGTGAGACCCCACCTGGAGTCCTGCATCCAGCTCTGGAGCCCTCAGCACGGGAATGTCATGGAGCTGTTGGAATGTCATGTAGCTGTTGGAGCGGGGCCAGAGGAGGACGACAGCTCTCCTATGAGGAAAGACTGAGAAAGTCAGGGTTCTTCAGTCTGTAGAAGAGAAGGCTGTGGGGAGACCCTATAGTGGCCGTTCAGTACTTAAAGGAGGCTTATTAAGAAAGATGAGGACAGACTTTCTTGCAGGACCTGTTGCAACAGGACAAGGGGCAATGGTTTTAAACTAACAGAGGATAGATTCAGACTAGATATAAGAAAGAAATTTTTTTATGATGTGGTAAAACACTGGAATGGGTTGCCTAGAGAGGTGGTAGATGCCCCAATCCCTGGAATCATTCAAGGTCAGGTTGGCTGGGGCTCTGACCACCCTGGTCTAGTTGAAGATGTCCCTACTCACTGCAGGGGGTTGGACTAGATGGCCTTTAAAGGTCCCTTCCAACTCAAACTATTCTAAACTGTCTGGACACACACTTAAAATTTTAATTCAAAATCCTTCTAATAAGAAATTCAGATCCAGAGCTATGACATCAACACTATACTTAACATTTATTGGCTCAGAAATTATAAAAACAAAATACGAAAATATATTTAAAAAAAGAAATATATCATACAGAAAGGACTTTTCCCTTGAAGTTACTTCATGAAGCAACTTTTAAATTAAAAATACAAACCTGTGGATAGTGCTGAAGCCCAGGATGGTGTCCTGGATTACTGGGCTGCACAGGAGTAGGTGGTGCTGCATTTTGGTAGCCAGGCTGCAGTGTTGGATATCCATAACCAAAGGGCTTAGAAGCTTTTGATGTTTGGGGGACTGATGGAGCAGGAACTGGGCTGCTGGTCACAGAACGTGCCTCTGGAAGGAGAAAAGAAATCCCACAGGTATTGAACATACTTACTATTTCTTTCTTAGTTTACATGACAACTACTAAATCCTTAACAAACAACACTTTTTCCATTTATAAGTTTTTACATTATAAGTAGTCTTCCTTGCTAAGTTATTTGATCAGTGCAGATAAACAACTTGATGTATAAAGAGGGTATACATGAGAAAATGACCATAGACTTGTATGACTACTAACAAAATGCTACCTAACAAAAAAAAAAAGTATTTCAATGGAATAAGAAAGAAATAAAAAGCCCTATTTGCACTCGATATAAATGGTAGAAGAGACCATTCATGCTTAGCCTCTCCTCTACCACTTTCAAATACTTTTCAAACTTAAGGCTAAGGCAACAGAACTATCCTCTAAATGTAGACACAGAGGTTTTCTTGAAGTAATGCAAGCCCCTCCTGTATATCCTTCCAGCACAGTTTGGTCCCACTATCTTTAAAGGACAAACTGAAAGTAACATATAGACCTAAATTCATAGAAAACAGTTGTAAAGAGATGAAACTACTCTTTAGAAATGTCTACAAATGTGAACTAAGTTTCAGAAGAACTTAAGCTTGGTAAAATCCACTGGAAAAAGTGGCAAGCGAAGAAACCAACAACTCAAGAAACTCGAAGAAATATAAAGCTGATCCTGTCACTCTAAGGAAAACAAAAGGAACAAATTATTTTTAGAATACGCCTTCGGCAGAACCAAAATGTTTAGTTATTAGCTGAGAAATCAGAATTCATAATCCTGCAGCCATACCTCTGCTACCCTTACTGCATGAGCTAGACCCTATGCGGATAACAATATCGGCTTTTTACTTGGCAGAGATTTTACTTTACACAGGAACCCACCAAACTAAGCAAACTACTTTGACATTCTCAGTGGCCAGATCAATGCAAAAGACCCAGAGATGGAGACCCTCAAATCAATCCAATTATCTTTTAAAATAATGGCTAACATACCCACATTGAACAGAATCTTTTCCACCTGATCTGAATATGACAGCTCTACAGATTTCAAGACTGAGGTAGTCTGCTAGTAGTGGCGTCTCAACTATTATCAGCTACTAATGTCAACACAATCAGGCCCACAGTATAGTCTAGAGAAAGCTGTCTGCTTTCACACAGAGCACACTTTCAGCATTGTTCTCAATATTATAATGGAAAGTATGACTTATGATACAGGGAAGTTTTATTCAATCGTTACTCCAACTGCAGTATTAAAACTGTGAAAAGTGATTAAAAAAGTGAGGTACGTTCTCTGATGATTCTCCCCCCTCCCCTTTCATAGGCATTTCCTTTTACTTACTTGTTAATTAATAAAAAACAGCAGAAATAGAAAAAATAATCAACAGTAAACATTTAAATCACAAACAAACAATTCAGAACTAACATGTGATAAATTGCTTACCTGGATAGCCACCTCCTTCCAGGGCATCATAATTGTTTAGAACAGGAGAGGCACTGCTTGTAGTAGAGGAACTATCAATTGCTGGGGGAGGAAAATAATTTAAAGTTAGGTGCTTCAGAAATCGCAGATTTTTGAGAAGTAAGAGACTGAATTTTTTCTAAAAACTTTGGTAAGAAACTGTCAAGAAAGATCCTGGGAAAAAAGACCACTTCAGCCCTAAGACTTGAAATCTATTAGCACTGCAAAGAGGAGGGGGAGGAAGAGATAAACAATCAACATAATAAAAACAAACAAACAAGCACATGCCAAACAAACAGCAAAAGAGAGATCAATGAGAAAAGGACAAAAACAGTTTAGAAAGTTGTTTCTTGAAATAAAAAAAGTATTTTTCTATTAAACTAAAAGTTCTTTCTAGACTACATCTACTGAAGCAGTGTACAACATTTTTAAAATCGTCTCTATTGTGACTTCCTTCACTTATGCTGTTCTACTCAGAAGGATCAACCGTGATGACACATCCCATTGTGAAGGTGAAAGTATTTCAATGGAGAACTTCCATGGTGGAACATTTGAGATTTGATCCCCCTTCAGCTGGGATTTCCAAGTAAAGAGACTCTTGCATATGGAAACATAACATCACTGAAATTTGGCACACATTAATACCACGGCAACATCATGACTGTACAGATTATTTTTGAGCATTTCACCTTTAAAGCACTCAGCTAAGAACAGAAAAACTATTAAAAAAACACGTAACACTAACCACAGATTTTATTTTAAATAACATATTAACAGTGTGAAACTCCTACAATGCTAATTTTCAGACTGTTTTTCACTGTAGATTTCCCTTTGTTTTTCTTAAGTTTATACAAGACACAACTGCAAGATTTCTTTTCCTACTGAATTTTATCTTTCTTTCTATTCTAAACACCGAAGGAAAATGGAATCATTATTTTGATCCCTGAGCAGGAACACAGCTTTCTAAGGTTTGACAAGTCCTACTATAGAAAAGCCAACATACGCTTCTATTAGGTCAACAAGATCAACATTTAAGAATTTCCAAGAAGTTTTTCTTTTTTGACTAGAAGTTCATTCCGCATTTCAAAAAAATACCAAGAGCATATAAGCACAGCATGAACGTGCAACACACTAGTTCAAGCTTTGTGATTTAACCGGTCACTCTTCACAGAGTTTTTCTCACAGTAAATTGTATTCACAAAATTATACCCATCTATAACACAATTACATACAAAATGAGTTTGCTGTCTGCACTAGTAAGATATAATAGTGCATCTCAGTTGTAATTCTACTACAAAAAATACTACGCATAATTTCTGACATACAGAAACGTTCTAGTCAGAGCATATTATCTCAGATATTCTGAAACACGAACAAGGTCTGCCAAACTTAAAATAAGCAAGTGAATCCTTTTACTAAGTATCTCGTATACTTACTGAAGACCTTTCACATAAAGTCTTTTCCTCTAAAGAACTTCTGAATTTTGTAACATATTCTTGAGAACTGTCAGAGTCCCAACACTTACACTGTGTCCTATTCTACTCTCCACTGGAAAATAAATAGTTAACTCAAAATGAGTTGCACGGTTTCCTGCAGACCAAAAGTAGCTTCAAACTCTAAGCTGGTCACACGTGTCATGGAAATCTCACATACTGTCCCTCAAAAGAACCCACAACAACTTCCACAAAAGTTTTCCTAAGCTTAAATTAAGCCACAACAGCCGTCAGTTTACTTTAGCATAATATGCACACATTTGGAAGACAGAAAAATGGCTTTAGGAAGAAAAAAAATATTAGAAAACACTGCTTAGGCAAAAGTAATACTTATAACATGTTTTTACTGTTAAATAATTATTCTACCAATATAACTTTTGCTTTCAGAGTTTTCAAGAACTCTTTTGCAACATAGTTAAAGATCTAGCTTGCAAGAGCAACAAAAGAATTGAGAAGCTACACAAACACAAGCAGCCAGATGTCCAACACTTATTTCCCATAAAACTACTGGCACAGCCTGAGCTAGAAACCTGTCTACAGGATCTGTTTAGGATTTGTATTAACCCCTGGTGACAGGGCATGAAAAAGCAAGTTTATTCATCAGGTAGCCTATGTATTGAACCTGGGTGTCCTTTCACTCTTCCGCATAAAATCAAATTTAAATACAATGATAGCTCAAAGGCTACAAGCTTTAGTGAAGCACAGAACTTGAGAGCAAAAGATGGTAGGGAATATGAAAACTTTGTCTCAAACTGAGCACCACATCTATGGTATGGAATATTTCCATTGGCCAGCTTGGCTACCTGCCTGGCTGTGCTCCCTTCCCAGCTCCTGCACACCTGCTCATCAGCTGAATATGGGAAACTGAAAAACATCCTTGATTTCACAGCAACAACTAAACCCAGCAGCGTTACCAACATTCCTCTCGTACTAGATCTAAAACACAGCAGCTACTGAGAATAAAATTAACTATCTCAGCTGAAACCAGGACACTGTTCTTAACCATGATCTGGATGTCATCATTCTTTTGCTCCATTCTTCATTATATCATTAAGAGGGCACTATTTTCACAGTATTCTAGTTTTATGACTTAATTATTTTAGTAAAACTCAGAATTATATGACACCGAATTTTTTCTGCCTAGTTACAACATGAATTATAAGATTAAAGGAAAAGTTTAAAAAGTTTGCTATCCCAAATTAATACTCAAGGCCAGCACACACAAATGGGAGTAGTACATCAGCACAAGGTATGTGCTGCTACTTCCATCTGTCAGCAAGGGTTGAAGTCTAATGTTTAATCTCAAAAAAGCTTTTTACACTGTTACCACCCATATACAGTTTGTAAAGACTTTTCTTTGTTAGAAGGAAAAAAGTTACCAATCAAGAATCAAAGGTGGTGAGCAACACCAAACTCACAAAACCACACAATTCTGACAAATACAGGCAGAATCCTTGCAACCAAGAACATAACATTTCATTCAATCAGGACAAGCAGCTTCTTAAAAAAAAAAAAAAAAAAAAAATTTAAATTCCTTACAAAGCAAGCAGGTTAAAACTGAACCTACGTGCCTGACCATAGAGACATACCTTAGAAGGAGAAAAAAAGCAGCACAAATTAATTTACTATCTTAAAAAGCACACTTACTACCTTTCAATATTTACTTTACCACCTTAATTCTAAGAGTTCCCTATGCACAAAATGGAAAAAAACGTAAACACTGTTTTATGTGATGATACAAACAGCATCTAGTTGCTTAATATAAGCAATTATCAGTCTAAGTTCTAGAGCTAATTATCTTCAGGTAAGAGTTTAAAATCCACGGCAAATCAAAATACTAAAAATATGGGAATCTTGCAAGTTGTGAATATTACTTTGTTAGATACATAAAACATCTGGTATTAACAGAACAAAAACAAACAAAAAAAAGAGACCCTTTCCTGACCAGTACTGAACTCATTTTTGTTTACTATACTAGTAACAGCTGGGAAATGTCTAGTTAACTTGATACATGATAAGTCAGAGTGACATTTTGTCTTCAAGGAAAAAAGTTTCAGGGGATGGAAATATGGAACAAAACTGAGTAGGAAGAGAACAAGACACTGGTGTAAAGCTAAAGCCAACCTGCTTCCTCATCCTCCTCATCCTCTTCCTCATCATCTGAACTTGATGACAAGGGAGCTGGTGCAGAGCTAGCTTGGTTATTAACATATCCACCATACTGCACGCCTGTGAAGTGGAAAGCACAAACATAAGAGTCAGACAGACAGGAAAGATGAGAAACAAGTCACAAATCACTGCATTAAAAGTGAGAGAAATTTGCCATTCCAGAGAAAATCCCAACATGCAAATAGATAATCTGCAACCCTAGACCACAGAACTATAGTCCATATACGAACTATTATGAGCAGTACCGTAGAAGCGGTTTTTAGTGGGCTAGTTTAGCAAAGTATTAGTAGCACATGGAAGTTGGCAGGAAATTTTATATATATATGTGCATGTGTGTGCGCACGCATGTGTATCAGGAAGTTAAACACACACACACAGACTTTCTATGTATTTAATATGAGTTTGTCCACTGGAACACTTTCATAAGTTAATACATATAAATGAGCTCCTTCCCAGAAATTCAAATTGTGTTATGAAAACACTAATGTTAAACTCTTTCTTGGCACACCTGCCCCTTTTAAGGCCAGAATCACTCACATTGGAATTCTGAACGCTACCAGAAATTAATGACATACACTGCTGCCACAACATGCGAGAGAACAAACAGATACCTTGGCAACACAGTGAAATTTAAGTGAGGTATACCTGAAAACTTGGTTAGCGTTACTTTTAAATTACTGCCTAAATTCAGGCTCACAGACTTGTATTTGAGCACCTAAATACACTATCCACTTTTAAGATCTGGTGACAACTCAACAACTGTTGCCACAGTCACCGCCAAACCATAATGTGTAGGGTTTGTTAGTGGCTTTTTTGGTAGTGTTTTTTTGTTGTTGCTTTTTTGTTTGTTTTTTTTACAATATCTACTCTAAACATATGTGAACAATACACAAAAGCAGCACACACATATACCATTTTAAAACAGAGCAAAGCATGCACAAATAGCTTATAATTAATATCCTACATTACTAATCACTGATGCAATTTCAGCACCTCTAAGAGGTCTTAAGTGCCTCTTGTCACAGAGCACGGTTAGCAAAGACTTTTAAATATGCCTGTAGTCAGGCAGACGCATCTTAAATAAATGCAAGTGACCACTGTTTCTCTCTTAGCTATCCAATGCATTGCTATAGCAAGAAAATACTCTAATCCTTCAAAACTCTTCAGAATTTTTCAGGCTCTTGAGAGCTTGGGACTTTTTTCCCCTGTGGAAGCACTGTGGCACCACTACTGTTCTCTATTTTAACACCAGAAAGCGCTACAAAAGTGTTCTACGTGATGCACAATCTAAAACTGTCATGGTAATTAACAATCTCTCCCCATCCACAACTTCAATCAACTATATCAACTTTTCTTTTAGTAAACTATGGGCTAAAAATGCTGGCAGTTTCATGGCTTTTTCAAAAGGGTTAACAAATGAACCCAAGAGGACCACTTCCATTTCACTCTAGAAAAAACAACAGAATCAAGGTGAAGAGTATATATTCAAACACTGGAAGTAAAAAGAAAACAGAGCAAAACCATATCACAACACTTTTGAGAAGCTGAACTTTCATACAGAGGTTAGTGCACAAAGAGACTGATATTATCTCACTTTATCTAGTGCATTCATTCCAATCAAGTTTCTCCACAATACCAGTGGTCACAATGATGAAGGCAAAATCAACCCACGTGCAATTGAGGAGGTGTAATGCTTCAGTTTCTCTATACTACTAAAACACAGGACTAACTCAAGTGATTCATAGTCCAAGCTTTTATGAAGGTTACTGGATGTGCTTGATAAGGATACAAGAAAATGATTCTCTGTGCAAAACCAGGCTACAGCCAAGGAGACCATGTCTCTTCTCAGGCCTGGGAGAGCTACCAAGGAACTACACAGAACCACCGCACTATTGTGAAGGAGAAAAAACAACTGAAAATAATTAACATGCAAGTAATAGGGGAAAAAAGTCGGGATGAGAATAAAAGACGCAGTGTAACACAAACAGCAAGCCAAAGTAAAAGAAGATGGGCACAGTGTGAGAGTGCAAAGATGGACCTCTAAAAATATGTACACTGATAGGAGAAGAAAGTAAATCTACCTCAAAAGGGCATGCCAATGCAAAAATTCCAAGCACGGGCAGATGAGAGAAAAAAGACTGAATTAGTCATTCTAATAATGCTACTTTGGAGTCTTTGGAATGTTTTTTGGAAAACAAACAAGCTTTTACTGCTAAAACTCCCCCTTTTCCAGTCACTGGTCACATACGTAAAGGATACACGTGTTCAGAAAGAATACAGAAAAAGAGATTAAAAATATGCTAGTGACACAGAAGTTTAGTAATCATTAACTATGTCATTATGAATCCTCTGGAGGCAGGGCTGATTTGACTTTTACCAGCCTTATGAGTCTGCGAAGATTTCTTTTTTATATTTATTTTCATTGCCAGCAGTACTACAAACTTCTGCTTTTAGGATACTTCTGCATTGTGCTAGCACAACTGTTCAGCCACAAAAACAAGCCGAGAACTGATATGGCTGAAAAACAATCTAGTTTAAAAAGTGGTTCTCAAGTGGAGAAGCCTCCCATTCTGGTTGCCTGCCCAGCCATGCCACCAGTAGGCCAGCACATGAGAGAAAGCAACTGAAGGGCAGAAATGGGTGGCTGAAGACAGCAGTTCCAAGTGCCACCATATGCCTAATCATGATTTCTGTTGTGACAACTCAGTTCTGCTTAATATCTTTTACAGAGTGGCTAATAAAGTTAAAAACTCCCACTCTTCAACCTGCAAAAGCTTTTTGTGAAATCATTATTTATTTTGAGTATGATTCCTTCATAGTTCTGGCTTAAAATGCAACCACAAATTTAAATCATCACTAATTTCTTGGACTGGAAATTTCTAAACCCTGCTACCAGTGTACCTGTAACACAGTATCATTGCACCCTAAGGCTTTATCTTGCTATATTGTACAGACACCTAGAAACGTAGGTGGGAAGACACAAAAGTTATGATAAACTGGGCTAAGAACCCCTTTGTCCATGAAATAAACCAACTATTTAGGTATTTCAAGTAACAATCACCCATACCACGAAAGACTTTTAAAATATAAAGCTTACATTTTGTGTGACTTAAGTTTCATAATGGAAGCCCCACCAAAAATGAAAATGAAATAACCACATGCAAAAAAACCCCCCTACATTCTGAAGTTCTTTAACTGGCTGTCCACCCATAACCCTAATTTTCAATGAATTTACTATGGCATTAAAATCTTCATATCACAAATAGTAGTTCTTACAAAAATGAACCCTCCTACTGTCTTCAACTCTTTGAATTATTTTCATTTACACATCAGCTCCTCTCAGCAACATAAAACCTAAGGAGTTCTACAAACAACATCCAGCCAGGACACGTATTCTCAAAGTTCATCTCTAGGGTGCCATTTTCAAGTAAATTAGGTTATCTGCATTAAAAGTATATGGCTATTTATAGAAGACTAAATAGGCTTTAATACATTTTAAGTTTTTTTGTCCTGTTAGAACTCAGTCAACTAAACAATTGCAGTATTTTAATTCTGTATAGAAATGCCCACACAGGAGCTTAAAACAATGAAACTCACTTTAAAAGTTAATTCAAACTGGTTTTCCAGAGTGCTTTCATGTAGACAACACTAACATAAGATAAAAAATCAGCCCGTTTAACCCCTGCATAAGAAACACACTTTGAATCCTAACAACTCAGACAAACATTCAGTAGATGTGTGTGATTTTTTCAGTAGGTTAATTTCTACAAATAAAGTTATCACACTTAATTGTTCATAAAAAGGTATTGCAAGAGTACATTATCTATTTCAGACTGCTCAAATGAAACTAACTGAAAAGAGTTTGAAATCTTCTAATGGTCATAAAAATATCATCTGAACATAGAAACATACATGTGATGACATGCACATGGATTTATTATTGATTATATTAACGTAAATACAACTAGATCAATGCAAACTCCTGATGACTTATCTATATATTCCTGACATACATATCTTGTTGATTTTAAAGTGCGCTCATTCAGCTACATATTGCATTAACCTCCACTTACTGAAAGTATTTTAATTTAGTGAAGAGTTCAGCAGTGAGGGCAGTAATTTGTATTTAATGTAGGAAGTATTCACACATTATACAGGAATCGCTGCAAGAACTCATATATTGCACGTTAAGGCAAGCACAATTAAAACAGCTAAAATCCTTTTTCTTGTTAGAAACACAGTTACGTGATTTCGCTGGAAGATGAAGCAATGTTTTTTTCTAGCAAATGCATTCACACTACAAATTCTATCCAGTACCAAAATCAGCTACAAAACTGTGCAAGAACCAAGCACAGTTCCAAAAATTGATTTATTACTTTCCTTAAAATGGTACACTGTACATCGGACTTCATAAGAATCAGGAAGTATCTTTTTGCCTGTAAGATAAACAGAGCTGACTCACAGACAAGTTATTTCTTTACATTCTCCACTCCACCAGAAACAGGAAGAAATGGAGCAAAAGGGGAAATCTGGACATTTATGTCAGAGGACTTTGACATTTAAGAGTAAGTAACATGCTGTGACAGTCACATTATTTTGAAAACTAGACATATCACATCGTTCTGGAAAAAATAAATGCTTACTTTCATCTCACACAATGAGTTGTTCTTCCATACGAAATTAAAATTTTGAAATTACCAAGAGGAACTACAGACCAAAATAACAATTATAAATCAGTGCAGTAAATTAGATTTGGAATAGTAGCAAGTCAAAACATCAGGGCAGAATTAGCACGGCTGAAGAAGGCTCAAGACCCAACTGATTCTTTTTCAAGAGGCTACCAACATCAGAACAGGATGGAGTTTATACAAGAACTCCTCTGTTCTCCCACAAGAACTCGTGCAGCAGCTTTCCACCGGAGCTTACAGCTAGGGAATAAGAAAACATTTCTCTTGCTTTGACTTTAACACTCAATCTCACTCTGTTACCCAGCGCTAGTACTAGCAAATTGCTAGTTTAGATCTGATTTTTCAATACCAACTGATTACAAAAGCTACTTCTAAGATCTCCTTCTAAGAAGCCTAAATAGTGATCAGCTTTTCAGGAAAAATAAGGGAACTAAAACAAGGGCTTTTTAAAGAAGAGATGTGTGAGACTGCCAACAAGACAAACAAGCCAATGATGACATATGGCCAAAGGAAATCGAACAGAAGAGCTAAGAGAAGCTAGAACCAAGGTGGTACCAAAGAGGAACACTAAGGGAGCCTGACAAGATGCAAGAGATGTACTCCAGTCAGACAAATGCAGAAGAGCAGCAATAAAGCTTCCAGGTTGCACGTGCATGTGTGAAACAGGGCAGAAGTCTGTATTGGAACTTCCCATTCTCTTTTAGTACCTTCCTGAAGGGCTGACTCTGGTGACTGTGTAACAGAGGGTGAAGATCGTGGCTGTGAAGAAAGGCTTGGTGCAGGTGTCCTTCCTGACGAGATCAGAGCAGAGGAAACAGATGTCCCAGCCCCAGGCTGGGAAAACGGAATGCTCTGGCTAATAGAGTGCACGGGTTGTGAAGAATCAAGTATTTGCACAGACAATTAGACAACACAAGCAATCACATTTGATTTCACAATAACTACAAAAACAATACAGTAGTTTAAAGAGAGATGCCTTCAAACAAGCATACATGGAAAAGTTGGTTGGTGGTTTTTTTTTTTTCAGTTAAATACCTATAATGTTAAAACTCCATTAAAATGAACAAACTGCTCTGACAAATAACAGCAAAAAGGAAAGCATGATGTAGTAAGATCAAGATTAAACGGAAGCTAAATTAAGCCATTTTTGATCCATCCCCACAAGTCCATGCTTTCACAGGTTGCTCTTCCCAGATAAGGGGAATGCAGTCCATGCAGGATAGCTCCTTCTCAATATTTATCCCACAGGCAGGAAACCTGAAAGTCAGCTGTGTAGTCGACCAGTATCCCGCCTCTCTCAAAGGGCTGGCACTTTGCAATTTTGGTACTCAATTATGAGACCCATATTCCAGGCAATCTGTTTCAATCAACGCTGAGTATTCCACAGAACTTCTGATGTGTTTTAAACATCTGGACTAGATATAATCTGCTTTAAAAAGTCAGATTAATGCTTTGAGAGATTTAACACAGTCCAGTTGAAATTCCTATCTGAAAAGGACAATATAACTTCAATTAAGTTAGCTTTTAAGAGCGTTGCTCCTTGACTATAAATTGAAAAAATTCATCATATTATGATTCTTCCTAAAAAAACTGATGGACAAAACTGTTAAAAATAAGAATAGAAAGGAAATGGATTGACCAATACTACTCAGTAAACAAACATAGAAATTAAGCAAGAACAACATTCACTGTCTGTAGAGTACTTTAGTTACAGAATTTCCCAGAGGATGCACATCCATTCACTTTGCTTCCTCTGCACATATAGCAGTGTAGTTCATACAGTTCCTCACTTTTCCTTAAATTGGAGTTGGTACCTGAAAGGACTTTATGGGGAAGCTGAGGCTTCCTTTAGAGTGGTAAGAAGAAGAGATGGCTGAAAATGATCCACTTTCCTAATTTAGTATCAAAAATAACAGCATACACTTTCACCCCTTCACAGAACTTTTATTTATTATGTAGTTTTCAAATATAATGTTAAGCATACATACTGCTTTTTCGCAAGTACTATCAAAATATGTATTTCTCCAAAGTACACACACACAGAGTTTTCTATTGAAATGTACTTGCTACAACCTCTGCTTCTACACATTCTGCCTTGCAGACTCACCACAGAAGCACCAGCACCAGTCAGCAGAAATGTTCGTTAGGGTAGTTCCACAGCTTTCTCAAGCAAGATATGCAAGACAACAAGGGAAGTTCTTTGTGACATTAGTGTGCTTACCCAGGTTTTGTAGCAGAGAGTTGTTTATGAGGTTATGGTTATTTTCCACACTTCAAGTCAATACAGCAATGCTCGCAACATCAAGCACTGCTGTAGAGCATGCTAAATGCTGTAAAGTCACAGTGTCACATGTTCAAAGCCAAAACCAATTTACACCTAGATTAGTTGAAGATGTAATACCTTCCTGCCATGTACTAGGATCTATTCTCTAATAAAAGTTATCCAAAATATCCTTCAAAATTACATGGATCTTTTACATGTATTGTAAGAAAACATTTTTAAACTCCTGAGAAAAAATATGATGTAACCTTCTCTTTGTACAAAAAAAGCCTGTCTGCAAAATTACATGTTAATGTTTATTTGGTGACTCCAGAAAGTTTTCAAAAGCCGTAAGTAACCAAAACCAAAACCACTTCGACAAAGTTAATCTTTAGAAATATGTCATTAGTAACTATCATCACATGAGACAATTTACTGTTATGGTAATTTTGCTATCAATTTTTTTTTTGCCTCTGGACAGTAACAAGATTGCACCCTGTCATACAAGTACTGATCAATTTAGGATCGCATATGTTAGCTCAAGACAAAGCTGGACTCAACACCAGTTTGGACTACAAGTTTCCCACCAGCTTATGCAAGACAAGTCCGATCAGGCCATACAACATTCCCACCAACCAATACCATGAGAAGCCAAGAGCTTTGTCACGCTGCAATAAATGTAAGACTCAATCTCATTGACATGGTATTTCCTAGTTTTCACCTTCCACTCCTCTCACCTTTAACGTACACTGAAGTTTTCCCTTGCACCTTTCAGTCATGAACATCTCTAGCTCTAAAAGTGACCAACTATACCATTTGGTTACAAAAGCCATGTACCAATGAAGATCTACAGCTAAAAGGTTACTGAAAGACTCCACAGAGCTGTGCAAATTAGCAGTGTAATTCATCATTTTTCCTACACACTATCATTTGAATTTTTATTTAATTTTCAAATTGAGACCTACAGGCAGTAGTTAAACAGTGTATCACCACGGTAGTATCTTCCCAAGTTTTCAGAAGAGGGACAAGAACAATCCCCTTTGAGTTGCTACAGCTACAATCTTGATTCCCCCACCCCACGACACAGCATGTAATTTCTACTAAGAGATTTACCACTACCCTGCAGCTTGGTTTTCAACAGCATCCCATCTCCCCAACTTTATCTCAGCTGCAGTCCTTCCCCTTTTTCCAACCACACCTATATTAGCAGATTTACAGGATTATAGCCTACATTCCTATGGAACTGGGGCAGCAAGGACTTTAGACCCTGACCTGACATACGGGCAAAGATGTGCGTGAGATAAAGAAATTAAAGTGTCTGCTGCTCAGGCAGACTGCCTACGTTTACAGGACGGTAGACAAGACCCAGGAAGCAAAAACCCATACCATATACCCGCAGAAGTTCTCAGTCTCCTCCTCTTCAGGGAGGCAGGGAGGAGTCCAGTAAAATTTGGGCATCCTGGCTGACATCCACACTGACTGGAAAGCACCAATAAAAATCAGAGTGCACTGATTTCAGCTGAAATAAGCTGGAAAAAACATTAAGAAAAGCTACTGACCTAGAAAGACAAAAAGCCTAAATAATACAAAATATATTATTTACATAGCATAACACTGCTTCTGGACAGATTTATACCAACACTGTTCTGTTGAAATATAGACTTTAAAACTAGAAGAGGGTATTTTTGCTAGAAAAAACTAGTTTAAACCAGTAAGCAGAAAAATCTCAAATTAACTATTTCTATTCTACTTTATTTATACTTTCTAAAGCAAAGAAAATTATTCTCACTGGCTGCTGTTCAACAAAACAGGTGAACTCACAGCAAGAGATTCCTCTTAAAATAAATTTCTTCTAGTGAATTCTCAGGAAGCTTCACTGGAAATACTTGAGTGATTTCAGACAGTGGCTGACAAAGTTTTAGAAAAAGATTTTGTTGTAGTTCTGTGTCCTCAGTATGTGACATACAGCAGCTCAGAGGTTTGATCTTAATATATTCATCACTTTGGGGGCTTTCCAAGGCCCTGCACAAAATGGTTTATTTAAAAATGCAACTGTAAGTCCAATGTTTAGAACCTTTCTGATTCAAGAAGAACACAATTCAGAAATCAAACTTCTGAAAAGCTTATGCCAGCCTAAGTTTCCTATGTAAGTCTTGTTTAAACACATACATTTTATCAAAAACACGGCATTCTTCTATATAAAGATGTTTCATTTTCATCACAGGGAGCTTTCAGTGTTCACTGACTGCACAAAACTGCTCGTGAAAAATACATTAAGACAGCAGTATCCTGAAAGACAGTGTAAGATTTGCTTATTTATAATTTAAGCATTGTAAGGCATCTTCTTTCACAGCACAGCTGCAATGACAGCAAACTGTCCTATTGGCACTCTGACTAGTAGTAGGATACCACATCAAAATTTCTTTACACGAACGGTCACAGAAAGCACATTTAGGAAATTCAGTATATCTTAAACTTTTTTTTCCAACAAATTTGCTAAAAACTATGCATAGAACAGGCTGTAACTGTTTTCTATCATTGTGTCCTTCCTGGAGATCAATGGGGAGAATGAAATATTAAAAAAAAATAATTCTTCTTATGAATCATTCATCATTTCCTAACTTCCATGTGTGTTGTACTCAGACACTTTCCAAGGATGTACAAGAAACGGCAAATAATTTTCAAGAACCAACTCTTTTTTTTCAAAGGCTTAGAATACATAAAATAACTCCTTCTAAGAACAATAAGACTGCACTGGGAAATTTGGAAAGCATATCAGTGTCCCAAAAAGATAATCAGTTATGCCAGGGCCAAACAATTATTTGCCATCTTTTATTAGCCAGGTGTTGTAGCAACTGCATTTTTAATATATTTTAGCCAAAGATGTTGAATTCTAGTCTAAAAAAAAAAAGTCGGATATTACTGGAGGCAGCCTGTTTAGCCCCCGACTTCAAAAATGGTGTAAGTCTTCAGACTTTAGTAACAGAGCAGCCTGGCTCTTCCTTCAGCATAGCTACTGGTTGCTGCCTTTCTTTGTTCCTTCCCTGTCTGTAAATACATATTCATTTGTGTGCTGCTGTTGAACTAGGATTCAGAGGGAAGAGAAAAAACACTATTCTCCAGATAAATCAGTTCCACAATCCAGTCCACTGTGCAGTGAAGCACAGGGGATGCCTATCTCAGCAGCTTTACAAGCTCAGAAATAGTCTGACCGTGGTTTAAGTAACTATGCCTACAGTCTGGTAAACAAACCAAGTACTGCAATATTACTGAAGTGTAACAGAAACAGTGGATCAGTGGTTTTTTTTTTTAGCTGCAAAGTGTGTACTCACTACACACCACTACCACAGCCAGTTCTATCATCAGCTTTTTGAAATTCAAGTGTGATATTACTACTTCTTCTTGAGGCCATATATTAACTCAATCACTCCCTTACGAAGAGCACTGAATGGTTCAGAAATAAGACTATTAATTGCTCATATTGCTCTTCATGGTCTGGTCAGCTCCACTGTTTCACCTTTAAAACAGCTGTTCCTTACAAAAAATACCGTTATGAACAAATAATAGATTTCAAGACACCCCCAAAAAAATAAAATTAACAGGCATTCAAATTAAAAATTTCTATAAATAAAACACTAAGAGTCTGAACAAACAACAACATGACTACTGCAAATCTTACTATTCTGAAATGACACCTGCATTCTGTCAAGTCCAGCTGTACATTCTGTGCTCAACAGAATAATTATCTTCTGCCAGAGTCTGAAACCTTTAGCCCTTGAAGGAATCCATTTTTATGCTCAACCTTGAAATGCCATTAACTTCAGAAGCTTTTTATGGAGCTCCCTATTTTTCTTTTTGAAACAGTATTTTGGTTTATGGTTTTGAAATATTAAATAAAATCGCACAGAGCACCTCACAGAGACAGACTGAGATCTACTAACATTCAAACCACTAAAACTGAGCTGAAGGATGACACTCTACATCCTAGTCTTGGGAGACAAAAAAACAATATTGAAACTAAATTCAATCTTGGTATGGATTAGATGAGCTTGATTTAAGTTTAGCTGGTTTTCCCAGGCAAAGCTTTACCATCATCAAAACCATGACCTTTCATATGCCCTTGGTTTTAGCAAACCTCAGCTACAAGGACTGCTAACATAATTCCAATGTTAAACTATAATCTGGAATATTTGGCATAAAAAAAGGAAACATTATACAGCTCTCTAGTACCTGTCTCAGAAACAAAAGCATCAGTCTTGCACAGCTTACAAGTCAAAACTGCATGAAGTCAGAAAACTATCAGTATAGGAAAAAAAAACATTTTTCCTGCACATGCTATTGCGCTCTCAGAGGGAGAGAAAGACAAATTTCAGTGTGGAGGCACTCCCACATCTCTAATCTCTGCCACCCTTCCTACCAAGCACTGCCTACCCTGTGAACTTGTACTGTTTTCCCACGAAGCAGAAGCTGCAGCTACTAGGAAGAACTGAACGTACTTGCCTTCAACTGGCACCTTCGCAACTTCATTCATAGCTACCTCCATACTAAAAACATTGAGTTGTTGCTTACAAAAATCAGCTAAAAACACCAAAATTATGCTCTGATTCAAATGTTTATCAAAAATGTTAATTAAAAAAACTTCAATTGCCTCCAAACCCATGTAGGCTTCCACTTTTTCTGATCTTCCTGAGGAAAAAAGTACATTCGTGTTCCTTAGGTAAAATTTAAACAATCAATTTAGATCACGACTTAAAAAAAAAAAATCTCTAGCCAGAAAAGGAAAAAAATATGTTTATGATTAATAGTCATATCACAGAAATCACATATTCCTTCAAAACTGCATGAAACAATATCCTTCCAAGGCCACTTACATTAAAAAAAAATAAACCAATAAACTAAGTGCATCCCCCAAATAGTGTCTCTTTCTGTCTCTCAATGGAAACACGTCAGTGATATAATTAGCTGCTATTGTGAGGACTGTGGTAACCAAATGAGAAAAGCTTCAAGAATGAATAAGGACAGAATTTTAAATTACGATACAGGATTTCACATAGTGAACAAGTACAAACCAACAAATGCACATGATTTCTGATGCTTCCCAGACGCATCTGGAAGTTCACTATCCTTCAAATAATACCATACCTGTATTTATTTGGTTGTTTACTTTAGCAGCTGACCCAGTGATTTGATATCGCCTTCAAATGCATTGTTAAGGTAGATCACAGGAATGGCTTATCCCATGGGAACATGCTGTTGAAGTGAATGAGGTACTGATATACTCCAGCTAGAAAACGTATTTGTCTCTTTGAATTGTCCAACAGCAGGTAGGCTCTGAGAGGTAAATGCCTTCCCATACACACTGCCAGCAGCCGCAGGATAGGAAACGCTAGGATACATGGCACCAGAAACCACGGGCGTGGTGGGCATGGTGCAGTGACCAGAATCAAGGGGAAATCCCTGAGACGCAACTGAAGAGCTGACAGAAGTGCTGTAGAGATTACCAAATGCTGAATATGACTGCTGAGCATTCGTATGCAAGTAGGATGCAGGTGGTATTGCTCCTTGAATAGGTCCTTCAGCTGACCCCACTGTATGGGGAGGAGTTTTGTTGTACAACTGCTGTGATTCCTGTGTGTTCAACACATTGGTACCCACAGAAGGTGTCATAACATTTTGTGCTGGTGCTGAATAGTAAGTAGGGTAGTAAGAGGCTCTATACTGATTATCCAAATGGGAAGCAGCAGCTTTATTGGGCACTTCGGAATAGTGTCCTGAGGGCACACTATAGTTCGGAGGATGCGAGCCATAGCCAGAGGGGAACTGCATCTGACCCTGTACAGGACCTGAAACGAAGAGAAAACATCACATGTATTAAGGGTGCATTGGCTAGTAGTGCCAATAGACTCTACTTACTCTAACTAACAAACAATTGGTCTCTTCTTGTTTTCTGTCACTATTTCTGAGGTCAATTTCCATCAGCAGAAAGAGAAAAAAACAAGTATAATGCATGCAAAATACAAAACTTGAAGTAATTTGCAAACACACACAGAAGTAACAGAAAAATTGATTGCTTCCACTATCGAAAGAAGTTTCCACACCAAGATTGTATGCCTCTCATTCGTACTTTTAATATTCTTAAGGAGGTTAATATTTAAACAAATAGTGAGCAACAGTAAGCACCAAACTGATTTTTCTACATGTCTGAATACAACAGTATGCCTTCAAGAAACCAACTGAATATAGAAAACGAAAAGCTGCAGTCAAGCCAACATGTCAATATCTAAAAATGTAGGTACTCTGCTTTACAAATCCTCAATACAGTGACCAAGATAAGGTGCTCCAGGGTAGTTATGTTTCTCTTCTGGATCATGCTTTTATGAAAACCAACAGTTTTATGAAACTACAGAGTCTCTGACAAGGCACTTCATTTCTGTTTACCACCTGATACTACCATCAGGTACAGCAGATGTTGATATCACAGAAATTGACCTCTGCTGTCCAGCAACTGGCTCTCCAACAGTAGAGGTTAATTATATGCTGCTCCAGCAAGGGTCAAACAAGTACTTGTTTGCTTGAGATCGAATGTTAACTATGTCCAACCAGGTATTTTTTCAATGCCAACTAATCTATAGTAAATCTGAAAGTTCCTCCTCAAGTTCTTTTCCTGAACTCTCTTTTTGTTTTCCAGTGAACCACAAATCCATTTCCCTGGATAACTTCCTTTCTCAAAATTACTACACCCTACCGCTTATGTCACTCTGAACGACTACGGTGTTATTTCCCAGCTCTTGGTGAGCAGAAGCACAAGCATGGCACTTGGCTGCTCACAAATTTAAACAGATAATAATAAGCTGTTAATTTCCACCCTTGTCTTTACAATTATTACAAAATATATTACTTCTCTTGTCTTGAAATTCTGGAAAGTCACTGTTCTCACAGTAACACCCAGATGTTCTATGATTAACTTGCAAGGCAATCTTAATAACGAATTTGTTAACGGAATCTTGTAAGCAAGGAACATACTGTCCAAAATTGCTTTCTGAAAAAATTAACAATGTATTTTCATACTTCCTTAAAAAAATAAAAATTCCATCCTGAGTTTTGAGGACAGTATGTAGCTATGCTTCTGATTCACTATTTTCTTGAAAAAGTGAGAGCAGCTTCAAAAAGCTCTGTAGTTTATTCTCCTTTAAAGGAAAATGATTTTGAGTTCGCAAGTCATTAACAGCTACATGAACTTTGGCAGACTTCTGACCGGCTTTTTTAAAGTCTGAAAGAGCAAACTCAAAAATACACCAATAGTCATCTTTATTCACATTTTTAAGTAGAAACGTCTGTAAGTTTAAAACTATACGTAAGCACCCAAGAGTACGAATTCCATGGAGACCTCACCAAGACAGACAAACCCAACATTTGAAAAGTTGTATTTTTGCTTTCACACTCCTGGTCCTTTAAAAGCAAGTTCTACAATAACAGATGAAAGATTATTCCCATTATCTGAAGTGAGTTTTTTGTCCATTTGATAATAAGAATGTGAGTAGAAAGTAATTTTTGTACTGCAATTAGCAGCTGAAGCTACTAATGATGACTAGATAATTGGACAGTTTTCAACACTAGAAATTTGGGTACATCTTGAGTGTCATTTTGAAACTCGGTTAATTGCACAATCTGTTCTGATGTCTCAGGTACTCTACCTTCCTCCCAAAACACCTGACAAATCTCTTTCAAAAAACTCCATGAGAGGAGTTGAAAACCTTAGCTGCATGCAGAAGGTGTACTGCTAAAATGCCACCTCAGTAGTGAAAGCAGTGAAACACTAATTCTACAGACAAATGACTACTTTATAATGTTATAATGTATAGCTACACAGACATTAACAGGTGAACTCCAAAAGCCTTACCATTTTTAAAGTGGAAGGAAGCCACCACAAAAAAAAAAAAAACACCAAACACACACACAAGCGCTATGGCTATACCACTATGTGAATTAGTAAACTTTTGCTTGCCAACGCCATGTTTGTTTGGGGGTTTATGTCTATCTATGCATTCTCTCACCTGAATAATTTAGCCGTCTGCCACGCACCCTACCTACATGTAGTCTACATATTCAACACCACCAGCTTCCCTTCTAGCCAAGAGCACCTGTTCATTTTCTGTAACTTCTAACACCCCTTTACTCACCTCCAGGGAAGACTCACCACGGCTCACTCACAGGATAGACAGTAGGCAGCACTGCAGTGCCTTGTTAAGCCTTGCCTGCCCTTAATTGTCACCAGCAAGCCAGCAAACCAAGCCACTGCTGAGCTCTCACAGCAGGTCAGTCGTGGGATTAATGTCTACCTCCTTCATCCACCCAGCTTCCCATTTTCACAAAATATTCAGGGATTTTGTAACTTTCAGATCTTTATCCTCTTTATCAAATTTAATGAAACTATCCAAAAGATCCAAAGTCTGAGGAGGGATGGAAAACAAAGCCAAATAACATCATAATGAAAATTACGGTCCCAAAATGCTAGTAGAGATACCGATGGTCATCTTACAAACCAGTTGTAGACAACACTAGAGAAAAAACTTCTGAAGAAACATGTGGATTCAATACAGTTATCCTCTCAGCATTACATTAAATTGCTAGCACTGAAGTCCTCCATCACTACTGGAAAAATACATGATATTTTAGTATGTACTTAACAAGCTTGGGGCAAACCTGCTGGAGAGCAGCTCTGTGGAGAGGGACCTGGATGTCCTGGTGGACGACAGGTTAACCATGAGCCAGCAGTGTGCCCTGGCTGCCAAGAAGGCCAATGGCATCCTGGGGTGCATTAGGAAGAGTGTGGCCAGACGGTGGAGGGAGGTCAT